TAGTTGAGTGGCCCAGTGGTCTCATACAAACTGACACAAGTCATGGTTTAATTATTTTCTACATGTAATCCAATTTCCAATTTCCAATTTCCAATTCCCTGAACAGTAGGTAGTATGTCAATAGAGTCAACTTAGCCCAAGGATGTTGTCACCTTGTCTAGCATAATTCAATATTGTGACTGGCACAAGTTCAATTTTTCTAATTATTGCGACAAGTGGCTCCAAGGCACTTTCGCAGTTGGCCTTAGGCATTGTGCATTGTTGCAATGAACCTCTAGGCTGGAGGCAAGGTCACAAAGGCTGCAATCAGAAAATACTTTCAAAAGTGAACAAAATTGTGGCAGCTAACTGCCACTAAACTAATGCCTCTAGGCTATGCTATGCTATGCTAACAGGCCACATAGCATTGCTATGAAACTGCTGACACTGCACTGAGCATGGAAAGGTCCACCATCTGTCACAGATCACACATGCAGCGTGTACACCATCAGATGCTCCTCATGTAACCAGGTAAAAGGAATGAGTGGGACGTTAGTGTGGGTGGGTGGGTGGTTGAGTGAGTGAGTGAGTGAGTGAGTGAGTGGTTGAGTGAGTGAGTGAGTGAGTGAGTGAGTGAGTGAGTGTTGAAGCAGGCAGTATTCACACTGTATCATAATTATCTTGACTGAAGGAATGTGCAATCACTTGCAACCATCGAAGTCGGCAAACCTGACAACCAATCCACGTAAGTTGACTCTTACAAATAGCATAGGTAATACTTGGGACCAATTCTGCCATTGAATCCCTGTGGTGTGGGTGTGTGGGTGAGGGTGTGTGGGTGAGGGTGTGTGGGTGAGGGTGTCGTTTTCCCCCTGTCACAAGATGAGAATAACATATTTCACGAGACACATGGAATATCCTATTTATTATATACTTTTTGTTAAGTTGTCTACCGGGAAATTAAATATTTCATTTCAAAGGTAAAACTTTAAATGTAGATTCTCCCTACCTAACACACAGGAACGGTTCACCACCCCTTGTATTTGCGACTTAAAAAGAAGTATCATGTTTTTAAAATCTTTAAAAAATATACAAAAGTATAAAAATATATTAAGGTCACCATATTATCTCCATAAATGACCATCTGTTATTATTTTGCCTTGTCATTGTCAAACTAACCAAAAAAGGATGTCAACAGTTTGTGTACGGGCTAGACACTTACAATAAAGGGAGACAATTTGAGTGGAGGTAACTCTTGTATGACAAAAGTTCCATCAAAGTGTTATGTTCACTGCAGTGAAAATATCACATTTCTCAACTTCAGGAAACTCAGACTTTCACACTGAAGTATATGATGAAATCCGGATTTTGTCCTAATGCAGGAATCTCGTAGATGACTAACAATCCTACCCTACAGGTTCAATTTTTCCAGTAATTAATTTTCAGAAGCCCAAGGTGAAATATCAAATGCTAAGCAGTTCTTGCTTAAATCAGTGAGCAAACTATTGTAGGCCACTGCAGGTCACATAGTTGTCTGGATAAGAATTTTCTTACACACCTGTGAGTGAGAAACCCATTTGAGATAACTGGTATCAAACATATGTGTGAGATCAAATTCCAGGCCCGTGATTGGCTACTCCATGGTGATGACCTGGGGTCAGATGATGACGGACTACTTTCCTGAGTGTAATTCATTCATAAGTAGCTCGTGCTTCAGTCGAATGTTCACCTACGTCTGTATTGAACAGCAAGACCGTGTAATTAATAATTAAAAAAACAAACTCGTCTTCGTCTGCGAGTTTGTTTGTTATTATCATCAGTTACATTATCTGTTGTATGGCAACATTATCGTTTTTTCAGAGTGTAAACCCCCTGGATGCCACAGCGACACATATGTCCCTTCTCTTCAAACCTCACTTCGAAATCGAATAAAATTCAAAATACATCACACAGAATCTTTACAGTTTTGAATTCCCCCTTCTGTTTATCATTTACTGTCATTTTAGGCAATTCAAAATTACTGAAAGTGACTTAAAGTTAGGTACATTGCAAAACTCGCCATTCAAGGCGTTATATAAATATTTACTGTGTGTTTAGAAATCAAAATATTGGATATTTACTCGAATAATTAAGGTAGAAAAATAGCATATTAGTGATCACTGGTATCACATCACTAATGATAATTCTGAAACGTCGCTGATAAGCCTAGAATCGTTTAGAATGTTTTGGAAAATACGCATACACGAACGCCGAAGTGTACGATCCGCCATATTGGATTGTGTTTACAAAATGCCGGTTATGCCTATTCGATCAGGTATATTTCAAACTCAGCTGCTATACATGCATCCCTGAATTCCTCATACATTTTCGAAACAATGGATAAAATAAATGATCTTTGTCACCAATGCAAATTATCATGCGAAATAAATTAGGTATGGAAACGAAAACTGTGCTCGGAAAACTGTACTTGCTGAAATGTAAACAAAGCAAAATTCAGATTTTACACTGTGTATCATTTTTAGAGGTACTTTCGACTAATTGTTGCATACATTGGCTCCATCACGCGTTTGAGAATATTCATGGGAAGAGTATCGTTGCACTAATAATGGAAATACACATATATACACATCACAAAGATGTGGTAAATTCAACAGAAGCCGTAAAAGTTTCCGTCCTGTGTGACGCCATGACTGACGCTAAATCACGCACAACGATGACGGTAGTTGTCTGCATTTCTGACTAATTTTCTTTGTTACATTGGAAAACATGGTAAACAAATAACAGTACGCAGATTGTCAGAATGTTTCTGATTACTTACGTGCCACATTTATGTGTATACGATCCCTCAATCAACGAAAACCTCCTCTGGAAATCACGCGTACTGTTGTCAGTGAACACGCCATTTTGTAAAAGTCGGTCACCGGTAGTGATGTCATACGGAAGTAAACATTGTTGTACATATTTGGTAATTTCTTTGAGGTGTAAACTTTCAACTTGGCACACAGTGTGTTCTTGGTTTTTGTCTAGTTTGCATTTTCATCATCGCCTTGATAATCCACATATATGACGGAAACCTTTTTGTGTAGGGTCACATTATTTATGAGTAGAAGGCAGCACATAGGATGACGTCACTTATGACAGAGGTGTTATGTATTAATTCGCTACTGCAATCATGAGAATAGACAAAATTCATCGGTTCGATGCTAAAAAGGTGCGATTTTAGGGTGTGTAAGAAACAGATTACTGCACTCGTGCCTGTCAGATACCATTGATCTTACAACTCGTTGTTACAAAGCGTATCTAACTCGCTTTCGCTCGTTAGATACGTTTTGAAACAACTCGTTGTAAGATCAATGGTATCTGATAGACACTCGTGTAGTAATCTCTATGTCCTCACGGAATCTCTCCTGGGATATATCACTACAATGAAATGCATCACAATGCTTTGCAGACCATTGTGACATCATCGGTAACCATGACGTCACAATCAAATGACATCACTAATCTCTGCTACTGAAGGTGGTTGGCTGCATTTGTTACACTCAAGACACTGCTTATAACTGTTCATAATCTGAAACAGTTGGAAGAATGTTGTTGGAGTTTAGAACTTTTATCAACTCATGTAGAAAGATTTGATATCAAAGACACTTGGGTGAGATTCTCTATCATCTGTCTAGTGTATTTCACCTGGAATTGTTTTTCCCCTACATATAGTTTTACTGTTCAGGTTTTGTATGAAAGTACATGTTTTATTTAAGTTGCTATGCACCTGAGATATTGTCGATGTAATCTAGAATGTTGTCAATTTGATGATAAATATTATTGATGTGATGATAAATATTGTTGATGTGATGCTAGATATTGTCAATGTGATGCTAGATATTATTGATGTGATGATAAATATTGTTGTGATGCTAGATATTGTCAGTGTGATGCTAGATATTATTGATGTGATGATAAATATTGTTGATGTGATGCTAGATATTATTGATGTGATGATAAATATTGAATATGTGATGATAAACATTGTTGATCAGATGATAAATATTGAAGATGTGATGATAAATGTTGTCGATGTGATACTAGATATTGTCAATGTGATATTTATTTTAGATGTGATGACATATTGTTGATGTGATAAGTATTGTCAATGTGATGATAGATATTGTCGATATGATGAAAGATATTGTCTATGTGATGATAGATATCGTCGATGTGATGATAGATATTGTTGATGTGATGATAGATATCGTCGATGTGATGATAGATATCGTCGATGTGATGATGACAAACTCAAGTATCCTTATGAATGGAACATGAAAACCTATGACAGGCCTACCTAACAAAACCAGCAGGGAGCTACCAAGCTATGGATGATGTACACACTTTACATAGAAATAGCCTCACAAACTACAAACAAAGACACAACTCTCATAAAGTTAGCATCATAATGATAAGAACCTGACACAATTTCAATGAAACCAAACAAATTAAAACTGTCTGGCGTCTAGCTCCAGTACAGACAAGACGCACAGCTGTACCAAACAGATTATATCATTAAATACAGCTCTTTTTCTCTATCATGTAAATAGTTTAAGATTATGTGTCAGGTTCTTATCATTACCATGCAAACTTTATGGGGATTGTGTCTGTTTGTAATTTGAATGCTATTTCTACTTAAAGTGGGTACACATTCCATAGTTCTGGTTGCTGGTTTTCTATGGTAGGCCTGTATGTGCATTCTAACATGATACTCCCACAGCGATTCCAGGTTACAATTGGACCTCAGCAACTTATGCTTGCTGTTTTATAAGTGGCGTCTAAATGAATCCAATATTCCGACTCGATGACTTGGTTGTTTGCCATCAAAACCTGGCAGCATGCTCACAACCTCAATGACTAGATTATCTGGTCCTGACTTGATTATTTATAGGCTAATGTCATATAGCTGCAATATAGCAATATGATTAGAAAACAAACAAACATAACAAACATCTAATATGACATTTGTATTTTTCCAGAGTGACGAATTTCCGGACCAACTGTTTGCGTGTGTTCAGCGATTGTCCACCAAGGAGAGCTCCTATGTACGTGCAAGGAGGAACAGGCAGTACCATGGCATTAGACACAGACAAGCTCTTCGATGAGTTTCACCCCGAAGTTGATTCTTCAACAGCCTCATCTATCTATTTAAAATGGACGCTTGAAGAGACTGCCATGCCGTACATTCAAAGATTTCAGGTGCATTATCAGAAAGTGGCAAGTACATATGTTCAATACAGCAACATGCTACCTGCAACTTCTACAGGATATAATATTCGTAACTTGGTAGCTGATACTTACTATAAGGTGTGTGTTGTGCTGTATCGTAATGATACAACCTCGCCATTGCGACAGTGCGTGGATGCGAATACGACGAGTTGGCATATTCCTGTTTCCATTGGCAGTAGTATTGGAGCAATTTTAGCTTTGTCTATCATCGTGCTGATTGTGCTTCTCTCTCGATGTCCGTCGCTTATTCGGCAACAGCGACAAGTCGCTTCTGACTCCAGCAAATATGACAGCATGTCGTCTCATTTCCCTGAAGATCATTACGAAATGAGTGACACCACAATGCCTGGGCATGAAAATGAGGAAGAATTGACATCGGAACATAAAGTTCATGTACATGTGTTTGACGACGGTTCAGGACGTGACCATTTGCAGGAGCGGAAATATCGCCCTGCAACAGATCCGTTGTGTAACGGAAATCGTAATCACGTGACTCATCACTCAGGGAGCAATCGATCTCAGTCACAAACTGAACGGAGCTCAAGTCATCACCATCATCATCATCGACATCCCCATCCCCATCTTCAAGCCATGCGCACACATCACCACTCCCTTGTGCTGGAGCATCACCCAATACCACAGCTCACTCAAACAAACTCATTGGACGACCAAATAAGCCTGAAGGATTACACTGTATAGGAACCAACTCTTGTTTGTTACCCCCAGTTGAGCTCACTACCCTACCGGGTACCGCACTGTGTATTCACCTCAATGGATTTAACATCCATGTTTCAATGGAATAGTTATGTCCATGGATTATTGTATAACAGATCGACAGAGATTTGAACACGACAGCATTACAAGAGTCACTGTTGTTCAAATAACAGGCATTTTTAATGTAATACGTTTTGTAAACAGGTTAGGTTTTCAAGTCTCTTTGATTGTCACATTACTTTTTTATCACCGAGTAAACTATACGACTCAAAAGAAGTTAAAGAACACCCAATTTTTTTATATGACTAAAGTTAATCTGTCATGGCTGGTTTGTCTTGCAACACACAGCCTTCCAATTGTGGGTGTTCCTTAACTTGTTTTGAGTAGTATATATACACCAAGTCATTCCAAACCTCAAAATAAGGGCAGCAAGGCTCAGGCTATTTGGCAAGCCCAGCAAATACAATTCAAGTACCTTAAACGCCACTTTGCATGCTGGCTAGTTCAAATTTTATGCAGCATACTACTAAGTTAAGGACCACTTGATTCTTTCATATTACTACAGGAAATTTGTCAAGTATCGAGTGGTCCTTTCTTTTTTTAGTAGTATATCTCAATCTAGCCATTGATGATGACACTGATTACAATGTCTCCATCATAAAGTCATGAAATAGTAGAAACAGGCAGAAATAGTGAACCAAACCATGGAGAAGAGTACCATTTAAAAGTCAATCAAAACTTACTTCATGGAAATCTATATATTGAAATAAAATTTAAAATCCTTTCCCTGCTAATACAACTATGAAAGAAACATTTAAAACAGTTTAAAGATGTTGTTTTCTATGTAAATATTTTTCGTCTTATTGTTGTATGAAATTGGACTTGTTCATTTACATTTTACTTACCGTATTCGACGCAATAAGCACCACACTCTTATAAGCTAAGACATTTGCTAATATATTGACTAGTGAACAAACCCAATTAGCACCCCTTCCAATTGATCAATGAACACAAGACTTATTTATTCATGTATAATTCACACTCGTGTGTTATATGCACCCTTTATTATGAGCAATTAAGTTCTGGAAAAATATATCTGTCGTATATAAACATTTCAGGCTGTCAGCATAAACCACGAAATTAACAATCTTTCAACTGTGTTTTTTCACCAAAATAATATTCTAATAAGAGGCCCCTATTTCTAATTTTGAGAGTGCCCTGGGCGCTTATTAAGTCGAATACGGTATTGGTTGTTTACCTGCACATCACAACGGTGCTGACACGAGGCCTCGTCCTCAGGCCAGACGTTTTACACTAACTGGTTTACTGATTCTATTGGACCTTACAAAACTAAGAAGAAGAAAAAAAGGAAATTGTGTACAACCCTAAAAAAAAGAGAAGAAAATTATTTTTTTTACACCCTCAAAAGTGATCAAGGGGGTGGAATTAAATTTGGTATGACCCTGAAGAAATGAAGGGGGGGGAGGTACTTTTTTGTATTTTTGTATTCTGGAAAACATTATAATGTCTTTTTTTAGGTTTTTCCCTTCAGCCAACCAAAGCTGATCACAAAATAATCTGTAAACGAGGAAATAAAAAGGTCTGGTTTTATCACTATTTTCGATAAGACATTTTTATCTATTCATGTGTCAAGGCAATGAGGTCAGAGTTAAAAGCCTCACTCTGGGTAGTTCATAGTGTCACCTATCATATCTAACTCACTCAAATGCATTTTCTGTCATGAATATATCACATTGTTTTGAAATGTTGAAATATGCACAACTGTTGTCAATCCAGTCCCCTCAACCACTGTCATCACTTGAAACTTCCATGGTACTTTTGTCGAAAATTACCAATGGTTAAGGTACCCATTGGACAAGAGGAATAACCATATTCGCTGTAAATATGCACCTGGAGCTTTGAAAAAATACAAAGGGAGACATTTGTTGAACCCATACATACATGAGTTAAATTTTTCAGACATTGAGGGGTAGTGAACACACTTTGTTTAAACATCAATGAAACTAACTTTTTTGTTAAATAGTTACCAATTAAATTGGCTTCTGAGCTGCTGTTTTCTGTAAAATAATTGTAATTTACACAAGAAAACATCAACTATCATAGAAATTTTCAATTTAGTAGGTGATGTTTATAAATCTTTTCATGCTTTTAATCTTTAATCAAGGTGCTCATGTGATTTGATGCCCTTTGCGATGTAAGACTCGTTTTATCATAATATTGATTCAGAATTTTTATCAGATCATCTTGACTGGGTGCCACCATTTTGTTTGAAGCAAATGCAAGTGATATGAGAAGTGGAATCTGATTGGTCAATAGGAGGGACATAGGACATAACACAAAATAGCCATTGGTGGCGCTACGATGGAACCTGGAAATTCCAGCCTAGTTCGGCTAGGATGGAAACTGGAATTTTACAGTTAGTTAACTCCCTTGCCTAGGGAAGATGTTGTTCATTATAATATTGATTATCAACCAGTGATATAAATTAATGCAAGTTAACTTCAAGTTTGACAAAAATTACTGTTTCCAATCATAGCAATTAATTATAGTGCCCCCAAATAACACTACACTGTCAGGCCACCTAATAAGTCGTCCAACTGGTCTTTGAGAATTCTAACTAGACTGGGGCCAAGAGACCAGCATCCGTATCAAACACTGTAAAATAGTGCTGATTCAGCAATAATACTATCATATAGAGGTAGTGTACTGTCATGTGCTCGATCTATCCTTGATCAGTCACAACTGCGATTCTACTGCTGAATGTCATGTGTTGTCATGAGACAATATCTCAATAACATGAAAGACATGTTGGCTTCATCCATTCGTTGTATCCCAAAACTGAGGATACGTTTTGGTTGATGGTGTAAGGTTTATAACATGGGTATTATCACATGAACTAAATCGAGTCTTATCATGCCCACTTGAAGTGAACTTAGACAATAATAAGGAAGTCAAATTTTCTTGCGATCTTTTCAGGATTTACATTCAACAGCAATTATCATATTTTGTAAGCAAATAAGTTTTGTATTCTACATAAAAGTCATGAACTGCTCCCTAAGCATGACGAAGGCAATAATTTACATCTAATGCCAATGTTCCATTTGCATCTAAGGCAATGTTTTTCTGTGAAAGGATGAGCTAACAATTTTTTAAAAATCGCAACACATTTACTTTGAAAACATCAAGCATGTCCTGTGAACAATTGTTTTTCAGTCTTTTTTTAAAAATAAATTTGTTCTAAGAAATCCCAGGCACCTCAAAATACCGGAATTCAAATTTAAGATCAAGTTTTAAGATCAAATTTGAATTAATATATACAGTGACAATGGCTTAAGAAAGCCACTTATGTCCCACAAAAGTGTCATTAACAGAAACACTACTGGCGTAACCAAACAGATTTAGTAAAAAGTGGAAAATCAATATTCACCAGTTTTGTAAGGGAACCAAAAATCTCTTCTAAAGACATGTTTTTACCTTCCAATATCTATTAACACCCCCATCCTACACTCCTCCCCCCCATCCTCATTGACGAAACCCATCCACTATGAAAACAAGTTGGTAGGGAATCGGTATACCCCTCTTCAACTTCACGCACTTATCACACTTGGCATGTTTAACAATGTTGTCACTCACTCCAATAAGAATATTTCATTTAATACACCTCTCCACGAAATACTTCTTCCGTTTGGGGGATAGAATAAGTGTGAATTTAAAGAAGTGCTGCCATTAGTGATTAGCAATCATGTTAAAACCATAAGATGTTAGACAAGAGCTGCATCTCCAGCATCTCAACTTGCTCGGGATAATCAGTGGCATTCTGCTATTAACTAGAACATTACGATGATATTGAGAAGTTCCTTGCTAAGCAGGCCATTTCTAGTTTTAAAAGCCTGTCAGATACACCTTAAGAAGAGATAATTATGGATTATCTCCTTTTTGAAAGATTACAGTAACACTTCTTGTTAAGATCTAAATTTGGAAACATAATGCTGGGAGGATACAGCCACAGAGCCCACTCCATTCAGGGATTATGTGCCAGGCCAAGTTAATTTCTGTAATGGACCTTCTCCAACTTGCCTGCTTTTCTATAATGTACTGATCAACTTATAATTACTATAATATTGATTTGGTAACCTGAAACCTTTAGATATTAATAGATACAGTCCTCGCAACTTTAAATAGAATCACGAAATATCACGATGATTAATTAACGAAGATAGCTGAATGTGCCAATACTTATGAAATGAAAGCAAGACATTTTCCCGATAAGGAATATCACTTACAGTAATGACAAATATTGCAAGTGCGCTTTTCAAGAAATGTCCATTTTCTTAGCAATAAACATCTGATCACGTGGCTACAATCCGACCGAGGATCGTCAGTCAGGTGACTGTGAGCAACTATATTTAGCAGCATGTGCAGCTTACGTACAGTACCAACACAAACTGAAAGAAAATGTGCAGATGTACAATTAAGGTCAAGGTCACTGCTAAATATAACCACTTGTATTGTGACGACTCTTACCTATTGATGCGGTATGCATCTTGCCGGTCATGCAACGCTGATTATGATGCCATACCCTTGACAACGCGTTCTCATCACCAATACTTATTTGTTTCTATGAAGAAGGAAATGTTATTGTAACAAGCAAAACAATCAGTGCATCAAATACTGATACAAAATAGCAACTTTGTTCGTAACACTGGGACATTGCAATATTTATATCAATCTGTATTTGATAAGTTTGTTTTTTAAATACATGTTGTATACATATGACTATTGATGTTTTGCATCACATTTGTACAAATGGGTAATATTGTGTACATTATTTATTTCAAATGGAGATCTATTTTTGGACTACATCACAATGTTTTTAACATATTTTGCAACCAATTGATTGTGTTTTCAACTTTCTCTCAACTATGACACATTTCTCAACACAAGGGCGAGAGGTGCTTGCATGAATGTATAGGACTGGATCGATATAACACAATGGGTAACACAATGTATACTACTCAAAAGAAGTTGAAGAACACACCATTTATTCATATGACTACAGTTGTCAATTGTGGGTGTTCCTTAACTTGTTTTGAGTTGTATACCTCTTCTACCAACTGGTCATTAACATGGCATCTAAAGCAACCGGTTCTGATCAATCTCAGGCTGGAGAAACTTAATTATCTGTTTCACAGGTCACTTATAGCCATTTAAAAGATAACAAAGTAAAATCTCTAACAGAAAAATTATGTCCAGTTACCATGGTAACCATTTATCTCAAAATTTACAATTACATTATCATTTTGATGATGTCTTGTCTTAGCTGCTTGTTGCAGTAACCTGAAAAATTTAATCCACAAAATGTGATTATGTATCATTCACAAGCACATAATTTAAGTAAAATGCAGTTATAGATTTTGTCATTATTTTCTTTTCATCTACAATATAATTTTTTTATCTTTTATTTTTCTTCCTTTAGATATTTTTGGGTTAAAAATCTGTAAAATAAGTAATTGAATTGATCTGGCCTCATTCTTTATAGCAACCTAATAACTAACGGCTATCATGTTCATGCAAGGACTGCTCCCCTATACTTGGATGTCACCACCAGTATTGAAATACATGTCGTACATGCTCTCCTCGTTCTGCGTTGTTCTTTCTCCATATACCACCTGATTATGACCTGTTTCAACCACGCCCAGGTCGTCAATAATCGGATGATCCATTTCGGTTCGTTGCATTCTACATATTCCATTACACCATAGTGTATTGATCACAAATGTGGACAACAGAATGGTAGAATTAATCTGTTCCGTCTAATACTTCCTGGCAGTATCTGAAACCCATTTCACTTAACATGACTCACCACAATGACTTTTTGTTCCTGTGTCCCTGGTTCCCACATCTTGCGATGTCTCCGACGTCTACATGTGCGTCAGTGCTGATTAAACCACAAGTCTACATGCAAACAACCTCCAATCACATCACCTAATCACATCACCTGGAACACCTTGAAAAAAATTGATGGAAAATTGATTGAATTAAATTGAAATTCTATGATCTCGTGCTTTAAGCACAGAGCTTGTTCGTCATGTTCGTTGACCGAGAGGGGATCACTGGTAGCCTAATGTCATCTTAAGTGCCTGAGTTCTGTGAAATCGCAGATTGTGGATGGGAATCCCAGATTCACCCTGTTTATGTTTTTAGGTTTGAAACGAGATTCAAACCCACCATGATGTGTTTCTGGCATGCCTAAGGGACACAAGTTTGCTCCACCAATTGTGGCCCAATGCTCGTTAAGTTACCGGTGATCCCTTCTCAGTCAACAAACAGGAAGGGCAAGCTCTGTGGCATAACAATATCTACATATGTACATATTGTACCAAGTCATATGTTTGTTTGTTTGTTTGTTTGTTTATTGTTTAACAACACACTCAGCAATATTTCAGCTATATGACGGCAGTCTGTAAATAATCAAATCTAGACCAGACAATCCAGTGATTGATATTATGAACATCGATCTACACAATTTGGATACGATGACATGAATCAACCAAGTCAGCGAGAATGACTACCCGATCCTGTTCGGTGCCTCTTACGACAAGCATAGTTGCCTTTCCCGGCCAGCATGGGTATCTGAAGACCTATTCTTACCAATATCTTCACGGGAATATCATATGTGATGACATCATCTATATGTGTGAAGATGACATCATCTATATGTGTGCAGTAAGTCACTCCAACTGATGTCTCCCTCTCAATTATCACATTTTGTCCATGGAGGGTACCAAAAAACGTAACAAGTTCCACCACACATAAGTTGTTCATCCACTAGGTGCATGCTAAGGCCACACTTTTCCTTTACGATAAGGCCACTTTTCCTTGATGCTAAGGCCACCCTTTTCCTTTATGCTAAGGCCACACTTTTCCTTCACTCTAAGGCCACACTTTTCCTTTACACTAAGGCCACACTTTTCCTTGATGCGAAGGCCACACTTTTCCTTGATGCTAAGGCCACACTTTTCCTTGATGCTAATGCCACACTTTTCCTTGATGCTAAGGCCACACTTTTCCTTGATGCTAAGGCCACACTTTTTCTTCACTCTAAGGCCACACTTTTCCTTTACACTAAGGGCACATTTTTCCTTTACACTAAGGCCACACTTTTCCTTGACGCTAAGGCCACACTTTTCCTTTACTTGCTTTTAGGATTTTTCAGTTTCTCCTCCACAACAGGTTGGCTTGCATAAAAAAATAATAATGGTTTAATATGGGAGGAGAGCCTGCACCACAACTGTTGCTCTAAGTAGTGCAGACCTGACGAATCAAGCGGGAATGCTGTTGTGCATCTATGCATTCTATCAATTTCAGGATCAGGACCATGGAGGGTACCAAAAAACGTAACAAGTTCCACCACACATAAGTTGTTCATCCACTAGGTGCATGCTAAGGCCACACTTTTCCTTTATGCTAAGGCCACACTTTTCCTTTATGCTAAGGCCACACTTTTCCTTCACTCTAAGGCCACACTTTTCCTTTACACTAAGGCCACACTTTTCCTTGATGCTAAGGCCACACTTTTCCTTTACACTAAGGCCACACTTTTCCTTGACGCTAAGGCCACACTTTTCCTTTACTTGCTTTAAGGATTTTTCAGTTTCTCCTCCACAACAGGTTGGCTTGCATAAAAAAATAATAATGGTTTAATATGGGAGGAGAGCCTGCACCACAGCTGTTGCTCTAAGTAATGCAGACCTGACGAATCAAGCGGGAAGGCTGTTGTGCATCTATGCATCCTATCAATTTCAGGATCAACAATAACTTTGTTTAGACTCCAATGTTTAATATATGCCTGTTGGTCCTTGTTTAGAAAATATTTTCACCCTTTTGGCGGGATACAAAACAGAGCAAATTCTGAAGTTGTTTTTTCCCATTTCAACCAAATTTACAGTTGGCCGAACTGTAAAACAAGTGAAACAAAGTGTGGCCTTAGCACCAAAGAGAATAAGGAAATATGGACGGTATCGCAAGCAATTGGCAGAGCTGGTCACAGCACAAAGGAAGGTTTGACATCCTCAACCCATGAAAGGGGAAGTAACTCATGCATATAAAAGTAACTCATACAGTTTACCAAGTCATAAACCTATCACAGAGGTTTACCAGTGTTTCGAACAGTACTTGTTTATAACCTCCCTGGGTATGAGGTTTTATTTTTATTAGTAAGATCTCCCCAGGGATAAGGTTAAATTTTTACAAGTAAGACCTCCCCAGGTATGAGGTTTAGTTTTTACTAGTAAGACCTCCCCAGGTATGAGATTTTAGTTTTTACTAGTAAGACCTCCCTAGGTATGAGGTTTTAGTTTTTACTAGTAAGACCTCCCCGGGTATGAGGTTTTAGTTTTTACTAGTAAGACCTCCCCGGGTATGAGGTTTTAGTTTTTACTAGTAAGACCTCCCTGGGTATGAGGTTTTAGTTTTTACTAGTAAGACCTCCCTGGGTATGAGGTTTTAGTTTTACTAGTAAGACCTCCCCGGGTATGAGGTTTTAGTTTTTACTAGTAAGACCTCCCCGGGTATGAGGTTTTAGTTTTTACTAGTAAGACCTCCCCGGGTATGAGGTTTTAGTTTTTACTAGTAAGACCTCCCCGAGAGTGAGGTTTTAGTTTTTACTAGTAAGACCTCCCCGGGTATGAGGTTTTAGTTTTACTAGTAAGACCTCCCCGGGTATGAGGTTTTAGTTTTTACTAGTAAGACCTCCCTGGGTATGAGGTTTTAGTTTTTACTAGTAAGACCTCCCTGGGTATGAGGTTTTAGTTTTTACTAGTAAGACCTCCCCGAGAGTGAGGTTTTAGTTTTTACTAGTAAGACCTCCCCGGGTATGAGGTTTTATCTTTTACTAGTAAGACCTCCCCGGGTATGAGGTTTTAGTTTTTACTAGTAAGACCTCCCTGGGTATGAGGTTTTAGTTTTTACTAGTAAGACCTCCCCGGATATGAGGTTTTGGTTTTACTAGTAAGACCTCCCTGGGTATGAGGTTTTAGTTTTACTAGTAAGACCTCCCTGGGTATGAGGTTTTAGTTTTTACTAGTAAGACCCCGAGAGTGAGGTTTTAGTTTTTACTAGTAAGACCTCCCCGGGTATGAGGTTTTAGTTTTACTAGTAAGACCTCCCTGGGTATGAGGTTTTAGTTTTTACTAGTAAGACCTCCCCGAGAGTGAGGTTTTAGTTTTTACTAGTAAGACCTCCCCGGGTATGAGGTTTTAGTTTTTACTAGTAAGACCTCCCCGGGTATGAGGTTTTTAGTTTTTACTAGTAAGACCTCCCCGGATATGAGGTTTTAGTTTTACTAGTAAGACCTCCCGGGTTATGAGGTTTTATCTTTTACTAGTAAGACCTCCTCGGGTATGAGGTTTTAGTTTTTACTAGTAAGACCTCCCCGGGTATGAGGTTTAAGTTTTTACTAGTAAGACCTCCCCGGATATGAGGTTTTAGTTTTACTAGTAAGACCTCCCTGGGTATGAGATTTTAGTTTTTACTAGTAAGACCTCCCTGGGTATGAGATTTTAGTTTTTACTAGTAAGACCTCCCCGGATATGAGGTTTTAGTTTTTACTAGTAAGACCTCCCTGGGTATGAGGTTTTATCTTTTACTAGTAAGACCTCCCCGGGTATGAGGTTTTAGTTTTACTAGTAAGACCTCCCTGGGTATGAGGTTTTAGTTTTTACTAGTAAGACCTCCCCGGGTATGAGGTTTTAGTTTTACTAGTAAGACCTCCCTGGGTATGAGGTTTTAGTTTTTACTAGTAAGACCTCCCCGAGAGTGAGGTTTTAGTTTTTACTAGTAAGACCTCCCCGGGTATGAGGTTTTAGTTTTTACTAGTAAGACCTCCCCGGGTATGAGGTTTTTAGTTTTTACTAGTAAGACCTCCCCGGATATGAGGTTTTAGTTTTACTAGTAAGACCTCCCGGGTTATGAGGTTTTATCTTTTACTAGTAAGACCTCCTCGGGTATGAGGTTTTAGTTTTTACTAGTAAGACCTCCCCGGGTATGAGGTTTAAGTTTTTACTAGTAAGACCTCCCCGGATATGAGGTTTTAGTTTTACTAGTAAGACCTCCCTGGGTATGAGGTTTTATCTTTTACTAGTAAGACTTCCCCGGGTATGAGGTTTTAGTTTTTACTAGTAAGACCTCCCTGGGTATGAGATTTTAGTTTTTACTAGTAAGACCTCCCCGGATATGAGGTTTTAGTTTTTACTAGTAAGACCTCCCTGGGTATGAGGTTTTATCTTTTACTAGTAAGACCTCCCCGGGTATGAGGTTTTAGTTTTACTAGTAAGACCTCCCTGGGTATGAGGTTTTAGTTTTTACTAGTAAGACCTCCCTGGGTATGAGGCTTTAGTTTTTACTAGTAAGACCTCCCCGGGTATGAGGTTTTAGTTTTTACAAGTAAGACCTCCCCGGGTATGAGGTTTTAGTTTTTACTAGTAAGACCTCCCTTGGTATGAGGTTTAGTTTTTACTAGTAAGACCTCCCCGGGTATGAGGTTTTAGTTTTTACTAGTAAGACCTCCCTGGGTATGAGGTTTTAGTTTTACTAGTAAGACCTCCCCGGATATGAGGTTTTAGTTTTTACTAGTAAGACCTCCCCGGATATGAGGTTTATAGTTTTACTAGTAAGACCTCCCTGGGTATGAGGTTTTAGTTTTTACTAGTAAGACCTCCCTGGGTATGAGGTTTTATCTTTTACTAGTAAGACCCCCCCGGGTATGAGGTTTTAGTTTTACTAGTAAGACCTCCCCGGATATGAGGTTTTAGTTTTTACTAGCAGGTCAAATTGGCCTCATATATGACCTGGGTAGGGAGGTAGACACAAATGTGGATTGCTGTATCTGCTCGCATTGAGGCAGGGTGTGACTATGGAAATATACATAATAAGGGAATGTGTATTATTGAGGAATGTCGACTCTTACAACAAGAGGTTCCTGAAGAGACCAGTTCTAACCTGTGTCTTCACATGGGAGTCTGCCACAAACATATGACTGCAATCTGCGACTAGTCAAAGCCAGAGTCTAGCAAAATTCTGGTCAAGAAAGTTCAGCTAATAATTAAGAATTGACTTCAATATTTTTTGCATTTTCTGGAGGTATAAACGTAAAACACGGTGGGCACATATCAAAGTGAAAAAGAATGTCCAAATAATAACAGAGCACCTTCAGAAAATTACGCCAAGAGCCGAGCTCAGTCTGGTAGACTTAAAAGTCTTTGGCACACACCATGACTATCATCAAAAAACCAACACAGCAAATGGTAGATCCTGTTTGTTTGTTTGTTTAACGCTGCTCTCAGCAATACCCAGCAATATATGACGGTGAACAGAGTCTGGCTCACTCAGACCCGGAGGTCTACGGTGCAGGAATCTGTCAACAAGCAACTAGAAGAGAAGACGATGATCTAGTTATTAATCCATTTCTTCTACAACCAGCTAATAAAAGAATTGTTCCGGAACTGACCTATATTTCAGCTCGACACATGATCAGTGTTTGATGGCATCCAGATCTCACACATGGCACAGAAATATCAATGAGATAACTTTCCTGGCTCCATCCTGTCAAATAATTGGCCAATCTTCTTATTCATGCACTGGTAGTACAATGCGATTCACTGCCATTTGAAATGCTTCAGAGTTTTCATTAATCTAACAGAAGACAATTTATGTTTCTTTGTTTGCAGATTTTATTTGGAAAGTTCTGAACTGTAGATGGTAAAAAAGAAAATTAATAGAGCCACTCGTATCTGTAGCTAACCTGAATTATGAAGAGAGAATTTCAGCCATGTTTTAAAATTGTAAATAATATATAAGTACAACTTATAATAAAAATAATAATTATCCATTTAAAGTCTGGAAGGTAATTTAAGGTACCGACGTTTACTACAATATCTGAAAAACTATCGGACCTACTCCAGTCAAAGTTGGTATGAGATTATTCAACAGTCATACATAACTGGATATTACATTTAAAGACAATTGGTGCAGGAATAAAAAATCTGTCTATTTAGCTATTACTATATTTCATCAACAACCAGACCTGTTCGTCACGGGTGGAACGAGCATTCAATGAAACAGCCACCTGCATAATGCTACCCCTGCGTCACAGGGCCATATGACACAGTTGAACCAATCAACTCAACTCGAAAGGGTGCACGGGAATCACGCACGTTGAGACGCCCAACGCTAACACCGTATTCGTGCGTGCCTGATTCCCGTGCACCCTTTCAACGCATAAGCATGCTCTAAGTGCTTAGACATTTATTACCCTGGTTAATGGATCAGTGTGCACTCAACAATCATTCTCAGCTCCCTGGGGAGTATACAACCCAAGCTGCCTGCAAGGCGCTAGAAGGTTAACAACCATCCTACCGGGTACCCACTCACTGCTGGGTGAACAGAGGCACAATGTGAACAAAGCCACTTGCCTAAGGAGACACCACATGTGCTGCATGTGCTTCAGTGTGGGGCAGGACCCACTTCAAAGATAACAAGGATAACTGCTGGTTTGTTGCATGCAGTGACGTTCCAATGTAGTTTATCCAGCTAGAGCTTGAAGTTGTTATCCAGAACTTATATGTTTATTATTTACTCCACAACTTCTAGAATGCC